GCCTCAGCTGCAGAATCCCCTCAGCACAGGCAAGACTCTCCACTCACCTGGACTCCCTCTGGAAGTAGTTTCATTCAGCCGCTCACTGTGAGTATTGCCTTGCCAGCACTGGGCTCCAGAGGCCACAAAGATAGATGGCACAGATTTGGCTGGTCTCAGGGCGCCCTGCAGAGCCTTGCTGGGGTCCTTTCTTGAGCGCTGCTGCAGGACTTTGATGACTGCATCCTTCTCCAGGATTTGGGCATGAAGGGCTTTTAACCTGGAGGACACAAAAGCAATGCGCCAGGTGAGATGGAGCAATCAGCAGCCAGAGATCTGGCTGAAGGAGTTTGCAGAAGGCATGGACAAGGCTTCAGTCATTTTGTACCTGAAGCATCCTTCATCCTCAACATTAGACCTTAGTCAATGCCCCTGGCAAAGATGCCTGGTTTCCATGATGGCTAGCGACCCAGCGAGAGGCCAAGTTTGAAATGCTCCATGAGAAATTGTGATAACTGCCCAATCAAAGGCTGACCATAATGGAAAGTGAATGGAAAATGGGCCCTGTGAAACCCAAGGCTAGGCATACCTGTTCTCCATCTCTTGGTGCTTGTGGTTGGCCAACAAGAGATCCTCGTCAAAGCTGTTGTTGGGGGAGTGGCGCGGGGAGTGGTTGATGATTGTGGTGTCCCGCTGCGCAGCAGCAGTGGCAGCAGCGTCCATGGCAAACTGCCTCATGGTGCACTCCTCCAGGTACTTCTGCTCCCACTTGGTCATGTCCGCCTCCAGGGCTAGGATCTTCTCCTCCTTCTCCCTCACCTGCTCCGAGAGCACCTGGGCACTCAGCTCAGGGGATCCTCCACTTGTGGCTCCCACTTGCCTCTGTATTGGCAAAGAAAAACCCATGCATGGTGTGAGACTGCCTCATGGAGAAGGGGCCCATGGGCCTGACTAGCAGGCTCTTGAACAACAAGACACTGTACATTCATTACTACCTTCTTCCTCAAGCATCTGGAACTGCCCCTGCTCCCATCCCCTAACCTCCATAAGTTCCTTTCCTCACCTGCTGAGCCCGCAGCATCTTCAGCTCCTGCTCCAGGCGGGTGCGGAGACGCAGTTCCAGCTGCTCCCGCTTCTCACAGGCAGCCTGGAGCTGGCCCAAGGCCTGCTGCAGCCTCTCCACCTTCTCTACGTATGCCCTCTTCTTCCTCAGCTCGTCCTCGGTCTTGGCAGCCCGTGCCTGAGCATTGCTCAGCGCTTGCTCCAGCAGCTCTGCCCGCCGGCGCTGGTCCTCATTGGCGCTGCGCAGCAGCAAAATCTCCCGCTCCAGCTTCTCCTTCTCCTGCTGGTGCTCGTAGTCTGGAAAAGGCACCGGAAGCAACCGTGTTAAGGCTGAGTGCAACAGTGGTAAGGTTGAGAGAAAGGCACATACTCCCAGTTGCCCCAATTTCCCCCCAGTGTGTGACTGGCAGATGCTGCCTCAGAGCTGTCCTGCTAGTGCACTAGCCCAGGTATAGACTGAGGGAAGTGTCTTCTGCCCCACACACGGAGACCAAGAGGCTCCTCAGGCTCTCTCAGACAGACACCAGATATGAGGGGGTCCAACAGGCTTTACCCACAAGGGTTGTTCCCTGCCATACTGTGCCTTCCTTTCATTCTGACACCACTGCTATTCTGGTCCCAGGGCCTCTCCTCAACTCCATCTGCCACCTGGCTACCCCCTGGGGCCAAGAATTGAAATGGCCCTGTCACCAAATGCCTTGGGAAATATTCTCAGGGCTCACCCCTCAACTCACACAGCAGGGGCTGCACCCCTGGGATTTTGGAGACTGGATGCTATTTCCTGTTCTGCCACTGACCAAGTCATTCTCCTGCTCTGTGCCTCAAGCTCCCTGCCTGTAAAATTAAGCCAATGATACTGCTTCCCTTATAAAAGTCTTGGGATAGCTGGGTGGGCAGGTAGAGGAACAAGTTCATGGTAGGCAAGACTGAAGCTCTGTGCAAGAAGCCAGCATTATCTGCCCAAAGCCCTGGTCCATTCCACACCCCTCTTATCCGGTTATCAGTGGGAACTGCTGTGCCACTGACTTCAAAGGAGTTTCCTTGCTTTGCACCAATTGTGGATTCAGCCTACAGCCAGTAGGTTTTAAGTGACAACTCCCTTCCCCCTGCCCAGTCAAACAGGGTGACAGGGAACTCTCAGAGGGTGCCTCCATGGTCATGAAGCAGTGCATGCTCCGAAATGAAAGAACAAGACCACTGGTTAAAACTACATAGTGTTCCCTCTGCCTTTCTTTCCAAACTGAATTGCAAATTCTACAATTGCATTAAACAGTTATGTTCTGCATGCAGCCAGGCCTGAGACTGAGGGGCTAAGGCAGGTGGTAAGGGGAATCGCATGGCTGTGCCCCCTTTTTTCTTCTTTTGGGCATGGTGGACATCCTGCTGCTGCTCATGGGAGCCCACATGAGCCAGGAAGAGAGCACCTGGCTCATTCCCAGCCTCCAGCAAAAAAAAAAAAAAAAGCAAAACAATAGAGAAAGGGAGAAAACCTCGGCCTGGGACTGTGAGTGGAGGGAGTGTGAGCTGAGCTGGAACAGCCGGAACAGCCTCTGGAATGCTAGGAATCCAGGTCACACCGATGGCTGTTGTGATTAATGGCTCTCATTTAAGTGCCAAGAACAGCTTTAGCTCTCCCTGGGGAATGGCAAAAAGCTTCCAAGAGAGGATCCGCCTCCTCTTCTATCTTAAAGGGACCTTACCCTCCCTCCCAACAAACCCTCTGTGAAAAATGTGCCAACATGCCCTTATCTACTGGAAAGATTTACAGCAAAGGGCTCGTGATAGAGAGAGCAAGAAAGGCACAACCAGACAGTTCTGCAAGCCACATCCATGAGGTTTGGGCATGGAGTGGGCACTCACTTTGCGCCAGGAGTTTTGCGACAGTCCCTTGGTTGCCTTCTTGGTTCTCCTGGTTCTTGCTGGCCAGCTGTTTGTTTGCAGATTCCAATCGTTCTGTTTTCAATTTAAAAAAAAGAGTCAGACATATTTTCAGAGTTTGCTTAATGGGGAGCAGCCTGGTTCCTGGAAGAAACCAGTATTATTACGAATTCATCTCACAACGCGTTCCACAAACTGATCTACCAGGAAACAATTTAGCCTAGAGAAGAGAAGACAGGGGATTTGATAACAGTCTTCAAATACCTGAAGGCTGATTACAGAGATGATGGGGATGAGCTTTTCTTTGTAGCTGTAGGGGACAGGGCAATGGCCTCCAGCTGTAGCAGGAGAAATTTAGGTTGGAGATTAGGAGGAGCTTTCTGACTGCAAGGCTGGTCAAGCATTGAAACAGGCTGTCCAGAGAAACTGTAGCATCTCCATCCTTGGAAACTTTCAAGAGCAGGCTGGACAGACACGTGGCTGGGATGGTTTAGGCAGAGATGCTCCTGCCTTGAGCAGGAGGCTGGACTAGATAAGCTTATGAGGTCCCTCTTCCAGCCCTACTTTACTATGATCCTATGTCAGGAGACAGACTTTGCTGGGGGACTTGGTCATGACAGGTGACTCTCTCCAGTCAGAGAGAAGTAGGTATTGGCTGATGCTTCTTGGGCAGAAGCACATGTGACCTTGACATGTGTGACCTTGTAGGGCCACATATGGGGCCAAGCACTGAACATACTAGGGACGAATGGTTGTTTGAGTGTTATCTGGGATGCAGAGGGAGCAGCGATGCGGGTAACCTCAGCCCAGACCAAGGCCTGATTATAATCATTATCTTCTCTTGGTATGAAAGACAGTCTAAAAAGAAGCAGGCCCCAGAAATTCCCTGCTCCCTCTTCCCTGTTTGAGGCTGCCCAGCATCCTACCTTTCAGATCCCGGTTGAAATCTTGAAGCCGACGCATCTCCCCATCCTTCTTGTTCCTCATGGTTTTCTCCAATGCTTCTCGCTTGGAAGAAGCCTTCATCAGGTTCTCATAGTCCTCCGAGATCCGCTGAATCTCTGTCTCCAGCTAAGGAAGAGGGAAACAATTGAGTGACATTAGATAGTCATGGTATGAGGCATAAAAGGGGAAGAGGACAGCAGGTCACCACCATGTCTGCAGTGTGATGTGCACTGCAACACACTGGGGCTGCTGAGGATTAGTAAATTGGTCTTTTAAGTCGTCAAGACCTGGGTTGGAGCTTGGTGGTGGGAGACGAGTTTGGTGAAATGGTGTCACCCTTCTCCTCATGGATGTGGGTCAGGAGTGAAGTGCATGTTGGCAGACAGACAGCAAATAGTGAAGGCTGTGTGCTGCCTGCCTGTACTTGCTGCCTGCCCTGAGCCAGTGTTCCTTGTTTGTAATTGCTACTTACACTTAAATAAAGTAATAACAAAGACTTTCTCTCCACCTCACAGAAAACCCCAAGCGCAACCCAAGCTGAGAGATGCCACCCACAAAACACTTGGCTAGCTGTCCTTAGTGTCTACAATAACCTGCTTACCCACCATGCACTTATTCCTCTACCTGCCACCAGAATGCTCACCAAAATCATGACACTATTTTGGGACTTCAGACCTTGTTTTTGTTTTTTGGGGTTTTTTTTAATTTAGATGGTACCTCTTAAAAAGCACCAGGCACGATAAAACTCCCAAAGATTCAGACTGGTTTTTCCTCCATTCCTCAACTTGGTGGCTTGCCCCAGAGAAGCATTTTCCCCTTTCTCTCCTGTGAGGAAGCCCCTCCAAGACCATCTCAGGTCAGGGAATTGCTCTGCTCTGTCCCACAGGGATAACTGAAAAGTGCTGAAAAATCCTCATATTTTCCTGGGTGAGATGTTTCACACAGAGATGGAGAAGAGAAGGTGCCCTAGGCTGGGCTGAATCACAGTAATAAAGGCTCCTGGTGCAGAGTCTCACCTCTTTCTAGCCATGGGCCTGGCCCCAGAATGGGAGTGGGGATGCTTTTGGAGCACTTTACCCACAGAGAAATACTGGAATATTGTAGCAGCAAAGCATTCCTGGCATATCTGCACCTATGCTGGGCAAGACATGCTTTGCAGTGATCTAGTAAAACTGCCCTTTACAGGTGAAACAAGCTAGACCAGTAAGAGTGCATATTTGTTGGCTTAATTGCATCTATACCAGGGGCTTCTGCCGGCATAGATGTCGGTCAGAGGTCACTCCTCTTCACACCCGGCCTGAGCGCGATGCTGGCAGAAAGTTGCAGCATAGCCCTGGTCTATGCCTGCACTTGTCTCACGGAAAATTCAGGCTCTTCTTCCCCATCCAGGAAGCACAGGCCAACTGCAGATGCTTCCTCAGCCTGACGAAGGGTGTCTGTGCCTAAAAGCTTGCAAAGAAGAATTTTTTCCAACTATTTGGGTTGGCCTAATAAAAGATATCAGATTTACCCAAAGAACCTTGTCTGCCTACGTCCTTAGACCAACGTGGCTACAACCTACATCCCTGGCTCTTATCCCTGTAATTTGAATGGATCCAGGGATGGAGCCAGGTCGAGGGATCCATGTGGGTAAGCGTGTGCTTTATGAAGGGTGTCCCAGTTTGTCCCCACCACCAATGGCCTCAATTCTGTCCCGCACAGGTGGTCTCTTGCTCTCCTTACCCAGGACTCACTTTCAGCTCTCCCCCCCCACCCCAGTCCTGGCATATGCTCCCTGCCTCCCCACCTCTGCAGCCCTGGCACGTGCCTCTCCTGTTGCCAGAAGCCCTCCCAACTGCCCATTTGTTCTGCAAGGAGCAACTTTCCCCTTGGCTGAGGCTGGGCTGGAACAGGCCTCCCCTTGTGTGCCTCTGCACAAAGGCCTTTCTGTGGCAGCCCAGCACAGACCCCAAGAGGGAGGGACAGGCAGAGAGAGGGCCCAACTGTTAATAGAGATGGTGAATGGACTCTTTTTTTATCCATTCAACAACTGCCTCAGCTGAGGACCTGTTGTGTTGTGTGCTTCTGAACCACAGCTGTTTAAAGGGGTGGGAGAAGGAGGGAGAAAGCAAGTGACAGGGGGAGAGATTAAAAAATTAGAGGGGAAGAATTTTCTCAACAGCTGTTTGGTCCTTCTCCAGACAAAAATCAAAACCAAAAACCAGCCAAAAAGTGCCTTTAAAGAGAAGCAAGGAAGCTGGGACTCTGAAGGGATTTTTCTTTTCCCTGGGCCTCATCTTACACAGACACTTTTCCCAGTGGAACTGCACCTGCTTTCAACAGCATCCAGTGAAAACAGCTCCCTTATAACCCAGAAACACATGTCCCAAACACAGGAGGCGGTGCCTGGTCTGTCATCCTGGAGGGAAATCTGAGGTGCCCTGTCCCTAATGAACCTTCATTAGGTGGCAACAGCCAGGAGCTCAACTGCTATCTCCACCAGAGATATTGCACAATGCCGGATTGTCCCCTTGGGATGGAGCAGGGATTGGGAAATCCCATGTAGCCACCTGTACCTGGTGCTGCTGGGATCCATGTGCATGTGGGGACAGTATGTGGGTGCTGACAACTACTCTGAGACCCCCAGGCTGTTGCACTGAGAGGCGGCCCCTGGCTCAGGTCTCAGTGAAGGCAACGGGAGCTTTACCACTGCCTTCAGTGGGAACAGGGCTAGGGCAGAGTTGAGCTCTATTGAAAACTCCACTCCTCCTGGCTCCTCTGGGGTTGTCCAGCTGGGTGAGCAATGGACAAGGTTGAAGGGTCCAAGAAAAACTCAGAGTGATTCCAAGTGTAAGCAGCATCATTTCTTCCCTGTCCCCACCATATCTGGTTTCTCAGGAGGAGGATGGAGAGTGCAGCTCCTTCCCATTTCACTGATGACTGGTTGAGTGTAGAGCCAAGGAAAGCAGAAGGCCTGGTAGAACCAGGTACAATGTAGGCAGGAGCTGAACCAACTTCCTCCAGAGCACTGTTAAAGCCTTTCTATCCTGTCCCCAGGGGACTCCTTTCTATCCACTTTCATGGATCCCCTTCCTGCATAACTGTCAGCGTCCTCAGTCCTGGTATAAAGTATGATGCCAGGTACATCATATCTCTTTCAGTCTGTAACAGCCAGGCAGGCAGGAGGGGCCTGGCCATGGTTCTAGGCAAAAGCTCTGGATTGACACACAAAAGGCAGCTTCAGGAGATAACAGAGCTCCTTGTTCAGTGTTAGCAGAAAACCATCCTTCTGCTAAAGGACCACAGGCCTGCCCTGTCCTGAACAAAGCCTGCCTGCCCATTGGACCCTGCTGTTCTCTGATAAAAGCACTGATGCCCCCTTTCTAAGACATGTTTCAATCACCATTTAGTGGTGAAATGCATGCTGAGCCCTCCTGGCAATCCAACTGCCCAGGGGTCTTAACCTGCCCACTGCTTTGCAACAAGGGCTTTGGCAGAGCATACCATTGGCAAGACCCTGGCAATGCTAGCTCTGTTCATTTACCTTCTGGATGCGGCTTGCTTTCTCGCTGTAGCTCTCAAGCTCCCTCCGTAGCTTCTCATTCTCTCTCAGCAGCTTCTCATTCTCTCTCAGCACAGTCTCCATCTGGGCCAAGTGGCTACTAGCAGAAGCAGCTTGGGCTGTCATCAAGGCCTCCATCCCAGCTGGAGTGAGAGACCCCAGTGGACTATGGCACAGCGAAGCCTGCTGTGGCAGGAAAGCCTGGGGCAGGTGGGCCTGCATCACCCTGGAAAATATTTTTTTAAAAAATGGTGAATACACAGGCCTGTTGACACTGCTTGTCACACACTGTGTGCACTTTCAGTGAAGGGATGGAGGGTGAAGAGCTGCACAGCTATAGCTCCACTGACCCCCGGAAATGTTTTAAGGCCCTGGTGCTGCCCTTGGATGGGAGGCAGTCAGAGCTGCAGAGGATACCTCTGCACACAGGCATGTGAGGACAAAAGCTGGCACTGGAACACTGAAAATACTCTGCAGGAGAGTCACTGCAGAATGCCCCAGGGGAATCTTTAAAGAGCTCCTGATGCGTCTTTCAAGCAGGGGTCAGGCACAGCAGCCCTTAGCATATCTGACAGAGAGAGAGAGTGCGCAGGATTTTCAAAACAGGCCAGACCAACTCTGCCCTCTGGTAAAACTGCTTCAACGGGAGCTGATGTCAGGTAGAGATCTGCTGAGATCTCTTAAAAACTCCACCTGAACCTTTCTGTAAATGACACCCTTACAATTCACTCTCCTGTAAAAGAACCTGGGGAAAGTTTTCGAAAGCACTTGAACAAATTAGGGTGAAAAAGTCCCATTTCCCAAAGGTCCAGATAATTAATAGTATTTAAGCACCCAGATGCAGATGACCCCTAGCAGGCAAACCAGGCACCGAAATAGTTTTCAATATGGGGTCTTAAGAGTCCAAATCCTATTGATTTTCACCACCAACTGGTCCTCTAAATGTCTAAGTTGTTTTTGAAAATGGGACTTGAGTGCTCAAGTCACTTCAGTACTTAAAAATAAATAAATAAATAAAAAGTGTTACCCCTTATTTCTAACCCATGTTTAAAGAGAGACCTTGTACCACCCAGCCCCATCCCAGCACTCAGAGAGAGGAACTTATCTGCCAAAGCTAAGCAGTGACAAATCTTTAAATCTCCACAGCACTGCCCCACTCTTCTGGTGAACTCCAGGAAGTTAAGGATGTTTGCTTCCCCCTAAGGCGATTCCCGATCAGCAGGCCCACCCTGTATGCAACTAATATA